TTTAAAGACGAAGCATTCTTGAGAGAAATGAAGACATACACTATTGTTCTTTAAAAAGTATACTAGGAGGGCCGGGGATTTAGTTCAGTGATTCCGCCGCCTGCCACACAAGCGAAAGGTCAGGAGTTTGATCCCCAGTACCAAAAAAAAAACAAGTATACTAGGACAATATTTCAAAAATATGTCTAGAAAGTGATTTGTTTTATCACGCTATTGATATTTATCTGCAATTTCAAAATAGTTGCTTTTTTTAAAAAGCCATTTGCAAAAATGTTTATTGATGAAATCTAAATTGTTTGAAAAGGGGAAAAGTTCACAGGCTGAAGTGAATTGATTCACTTTCACATTATTTGAATGAAACCTCCATTATTTCTTTCTTGGTTTAGTCTTTAAATAATAAAATAGAGGTTCTCAACTTAATGAAGTGTCTACAATAAACTAATATTGATTCACCTCAGTCATATTTGAAAAATGTATTCTTTTTTTTTGCTTATCAGCATAGGATTTAGGCATTGGTTGAGACCGTCTTTTTACAAATAAAGTGTTTATGTCTCTTAAAAACAGTAAGTGGATTAATTTCTGTCCTAAATATATGAAAGCAATTTAAGATGGAGAATCCTGTCATGCATCTCTGTGAGGAGCCTAATTTCTAATTTGTCTTTTTGTAAGTCTGTATTTTTTCTTAGGGCAGGTTTGTTTAATAGGAGCATTAATTAGAGAGGAAGGCAACTCCTTTGTCTTCTAAAACTCAGGATTTTAAAAACATATAGTATTTCATTAATTTAGAAGTTAGCACTTCTGGCTTCTGGTCCCCACTGAGCTCCCATCCCGATGTGGATCTGAGGTGACTCTGAAGCAGCGTGACCACCTCATTGTTTAAAATGGCGGCCATTCTAATAGCTGCTCTAGGCAGAGCTGCAGAGGTGACTTGAAGTTCCCCCATACTCAGGCATCAAGTGAAAAACTCAATTAGTCATGCCAGCCAGGAGAGGTTAGATGCTGCCCCTGAGATGCAGGGGCCTGAGTGGGGAGCCCTGGGTCAAGCCCTGGGGCCTGGATGGAGAATGTGGCCTGTTTCAATGGTAAATGGAAAACTCTTGTAGCAAATAACTCAGCTGTGTCCCAGGGAACCTCCCAGGATTTCCCAGGAAGATGGCTATCGGTTCGGAGAACTGGGTAAATTGTTCTCACTTCTTTGACCTTCACTTACTTTTGGGTCTCATCCGTGTTCACACACTTCTTACCTCATCCATTCCACTCGAAAGCTTCCATTTTCTACTTCTAGGTAGTTATTTCCTTCACATACTTAATACTGGAATTGTTTAACATGTAAAAATCACAACATTCTTAGATACTCAAACCAACAAATACAGATCTTCAGAAGCGTTCTAGTTGGTGTTGAAATTAATACCTATTATTTGTTAGGTCTTCTGCCCCACATTTTCACAGTAACAATCTGAAATACTATTTTAAAATGTCAACTGTGCTATTTATAGTTGAAATAAGATCTGGATGCAATGTTTTTATTTTACAGAAAAATCCCAATTTAAAAAATTTACACTAATTTCTACAACTACATGGACAAAATTATTATTTACCTAAGTAAAATAAATTGTCATTTTACATAAATTAGAAAATACTGCTAATTCCTTTCATGTGGGTATGTATTAATATGATTTTTTAAATTTCACATTCAGATCAACAAAATAAAATAGCATATATGAAAAATCTATTTGTGGTGCTTGGAATCAAACCCAGGACCTTGAGCATGCTAGGCAACTGCTTCACCACTGGGCTACTGCACCTTCAGCCCCACAGGATTCTTTAAATGGACTCCAGTAGGTCAGTGACTGAGAATAAAACACTGTCAGCATGGGTGCCAGATAAATGTAACCTGAGTTGCTGTAAAGTTAGTAATATTTAAAACATAGCACCACACTGAGTAACCATGAAACTATCGTACACTTAGTTTTTATTTACGATTTGCCAAATAAAAATTGACACATCCTTGGAAGAGAGATTTCTAAAGGAAGTATAAGAGCGTCTAAAAGCAGCAGCTTTTCTGACCTTAAAGCTAATTTGAACCTGAACTTCATTTTGTGCTGATGATGTCTATAAATATCAGGAAGCGTAAGCCCTCTCCTCCGGGAGAGAAGAGTGGATCTGAGGGCCGTGGATATGGCTGCATGGTAGGCTAGCCCGTGCAGGGGGGTGTGTCTACACCCTTGAAGCCCACATCTCTGCAGATTGCCGTCAGGATTGTCTTGTTTTTTTTCACTAAAATTATAGCTAAATATCACCTTTAGTCCTGAGTTGTGCCAGTGTTTGGTGGATTAATAAGACTAATTCAAAGTTGCCTATTTTTCTGTATTAGAAGAGTAACAGAATGTTAAATATTTCTCTTACGAGATGACTTACTGAAATCTTAAAGTCTCACTATCTTTACAGTCTCACTAAAATAATGGAAAAGACTTTCTTCATGTGGTATTATATCAGGGTAAGTATTGGAGACTCCAAATAGATAGAGAAGATATGTTTGA